CCAATTTACTCTGATTCAGCATGCACATTGATACAATAGATTGTATTTGCCTAATGATTACCTATGGGAAAAGATCTTTGAAGCTGAAATAAATGGGAAATTTTGATAATTAATCTTTTCTCTACTTCTAACTTTTTGCAATTCTAAATTAGACAAAAAACAAAGTTATTTCACGAACGAGCAGGTTGCTTTGACAGAACGGCAGTTGCTATGCATACTGTCTTATTCATGAAACATTTTAATAATTTATTCTGAAAATAGCTATGCGCTCACTACATCAGTTACTAAATAAAACAATGTCGTAGAGGCAGGAGGACGATTAAAATGCCAAGAAAACTATTATTCTGCTTTTATTAATTTTACTAAGATTCAAAAAAAAATAAACAAAAAAGATCCATAATTATCTACACACTGCTTCCTAACAAATACAAAACTCTAAAGGCACCCAGACCATTTCAGCTCATTAAAGTGGTCTGGGTGCAGTGTCCCTGTCACACTTAGTCCTTAGTTTTTCAGAACCTGCAATGTTTACAGACAGTTCTACCAGACAGCTGTTGGGGATAAAATCAGCCCGGGCCCTTTGTGGATGATGGATATTTGCCAACCCATTCAGAGCTCTGAAAATTGGAAATGAATAGCAGAGACGTGTTCAATAACCAATTCAAATTGTATTCCTCCGTCAGTTATATTAATACCCCGTTTTCATAGCAGGATGGGAGGGGGAAAATGAGCATATGGGCGTGACGATGACATTGTTTTTCACAAGTTATGAGCAGCTGTTTCTTATTATAATTCTACGTTATATAACACATGTATATTTGATTAAAACAGATATTTACAAATACCAAAATCTTGGACAATTAACAAGAACATTTTGAAATCAGTATGGTCATTCTCGTAAATGATATTAGATAAATTCTTCCCAGAATCGAAGATACAATTCCAAATGTATTCTTGGTTCACATTAACCCTTATATGAACAGCTAGGATAGATAGCAAAATGGATATTCATATCTACAACAGCCACTAGAGGCACTTCACCAGACTCTGGGTTCCATAAATGGAACACTGGACATCCTCAGTGAATTCCCATAGGAAACCATTGATTCAATGCTTTCATATGGGGAGAGCCTAATATGCTTGCTGCGCATGTACATTAGGTCCCCTTTTTGGATGACGTTGGAGGAGACGGAACGCTAACCCAGCACTGTGACGAGAGCAATCTCGCCACATTGCATTGGAGAAGCCTGGTTGCTCGCCTGTTGCCTCTGGACTATGGCCCCATGGTAAAACTTGTATTTTCCCCTGCAGAAAGGCTTGTTCGTGCCTTTCTGCCAGGGTGTTCGGTAAATTCTATGTACCGAACAAACGCACAAATGACTGGACCACCTGGGAGCTGGAGTGTGTCGGCAATTTACCTCCCAGAAGCTGCGGTTAACCGCAGCTTAACTGACAATTACTGGGTGGTCGCGGTTACACCTAGCCGCCACAAGATGGTGGTGTTATGGAAGACCCCTCCCCCCCTCGGGTAGCCGAACAACGGAGCATTCGGGACTTTTAGTGTTACAATGTATTCGGTGTAAAAGTACCCAGATAGCCTGCCATGGAGCCTGTTCGTGGAATTAAAGACTTTGGCTCCATGGCGATTAAACTGTATTTGTGGGGTCTGAGCGCCATTCGCTTAATAATGTGCGCTCAGACCTGAGCTATCTGGGGATATGTTAAATGTATGCTTTTAATGTAATGTGTCTCACATAGTGTATTTCAATAGTAATTCTTGTGTTAGTATCCCCAAGTGCATAATGGCGATTTGCCTTTGTCTTGGGAGATAATTGAGTTACTTCTCAATTATCTCCAGGGCAGAGGGGAGGAAGCCAGGATGCATTGTGGGAATATATTGTGACTGTGTGTCCTATTTGTCTACCTGTCTGTCCCTTGTCACAGTCTCCCATTTGGTCCCCTAGGGGAGTGTCCACCAGCTGGGAGACCTGCATAAAAACTGGGCAGGTAGCCCTCATTAAACAGACCACTGCTTGACCCTCAACACGGAGCTTTGTCTTGTCTTTGGGGGGATTTACTGTATGCTGATAGAGACTGATTGCTAGGAGTGCAAGCTGCTTGGGTGCTTTTCCTGTTCGTCTGCTAGCAGCTATTCGTGAGGTTCCAGTTCGGGAGTTTGGAGTGCTATTTTGTATGCCGTTCGGGAGTTTGGAGCATTCCCTTACATGCGGTTCGGCGGATTGGTGTTCTGCAGTAGCTGTGCCTGCATCTCTGGAAGGGGAAGATCTTCTAAACGGCGGTTTAACCCTTTTATGCCTGGGGTGCCGTTACAAGCACCAAAGGGACATTGGTGTAAATAAAGGGTTATCCCTTTATTTCCCCTGGGGTGGGGGGTGGGAGCACTAGGAGGAGGTTGCCAAAGCACTCTATAGTGTTAGAAATACAACTTTATACTGCTAACACTATAGATTCCCTTAAAAGAGACAATATTGTCTGCATTGTTAATTTAACCAGGCTACTACAACCTCAGTCTTAAAATGTGTTTCCATTGGGAACTCATTCACCTACAAGCAACGGAAGATACAAAAATGTATGCAAATTAATATTAACCCGAGATACCTGAGAACAAAAAAACTATGTCACACCTACTGGCATCAGCTCAGATAGTGGTCTAAGTATCGACCTTCTGTATTGTAATAATCTGGTTTCTTTTCCATTGGTGCTAAAGAAATGCTGTGATTAAGATCTTTATGTCTCCAATTGGGAATGTAGTTGACTAGTCACACTTTCGAAGACATTTTAACATGGAGGCTATATAACCAGTGCACATTTATTGATGTTCTGTAGGTATTTATTGTCCTTTTAAAATAATAGCATGCAATAATTCTCCAATAAAGGGAGGACAATGCAAATGAATGGACTGTGTGTGAATAAATGGATGTGTAACAATGAGAGAATAGGAAATATTTATGAAGCCTTCTAGAATGCTGATTGGTGATTACTCTCCATGTTCAGAACACAAAGAGTGAGATATGGCGGAGCGGCCGGCGGCTGAAACAGGTTCTTAATGAATTGGGAATCACTCACTCTGTGTTAGCGTTATAAACCGAGTACTTTGTTTATATCATTCAAACTAACACCCACTTCTGTTTTTTTATGCTTTTAAAAATGCATGGGTTGGGACCGAGGGGCTTTACAGGGAAATCATCCCTTCTCTGGAAATTACACCATTACAAGCAACACTGACAATCACTTGCAGCTTGAGCTGAACATTTTTCTTTTAAATTTAATATTAAAGATTCAGCCAATGACATCATCATCCAGTTCAGACAAGGCACAGTTAGGGCACACATTGCAAATGAAGCAGACAAAGAGAAACATTGTTTCATTACTCCTCCACTCTGCATGCTTTCTATGCTGACTGCCAGGTGTAATGGGCGGAGCTTATAACAATGACTGACAGGGAGCTAAGATGGAGGCGGCTCTCTCTATACTGACTGCCAGGTGTAAAGGGCGGAGCTTATAACAATGATTGACAGGGAGCTAAGATGGAGGCGGCTCTCTCTATACTGACTGCCAGGTGTAAAGGGTGGAGCTTATAACAATGATTGACAGGGAGCTAAGATGGAGGCTGGCTCTCTCTATACTGACTGCCAGGTGTAAAGGGCGGAGCTTATAACAATGATTGACAGGGAGCTAAGATGGAGGCGGCTCTCTCTGTACTGACTGGCTCTCTCTATACTGACTGCCAGGTGTAAAGGGCGGAGCTTATAACAATGAGGTGGCTTTCTCTATACTGACAGGGAGCTAAGATGGAGCTAAGATGGCTCTCTCTATACTGACTGCCAGGTGTAAAGGGCGGAGCTTATAACAATGATTGACAGGGAGCTAAGATGGAGGTGGCTCTCTCTATACTGACTGCCAGGTGTAAAGGGCGGAGCTTATAACAATGATTGACAGGGAGCTAAGATGGAGGTGGCTCTCTATACTGACTGCCAGGTGTAAAGGGCGGAGCTTATAACAATGATTGACAGGGAGCTAAGATGGAGGTGGCTCTCTCTATACTGACTGCCAGGTGTAAAGGGCGGAGCTTATAACAATGATTGACAGGGAGCTAAGATGGAGGTGGCTCTCTCTATACTGACTGCCAGGTGTAAAGGGCGGAGCTTATAACAATGATTGACAGGGAGCTAAGATGGAGGTGGCTCTCTCTATACTGACTGCCAGGTGTAAAGGGCGGAGCTTATAACAATGATTGACAGGGAGCTAAGATGGAGGCGGCTCTCTCTATACTGACTGCCAGGTGTAAAGGGCGGAGCTTATAACAATGATTGACAGGGAGCTAAGATGGAGGTGGCTCTCTCTATACTGACTGCCAGGTGTAAAGGGCGGGGCTTATAACAATGATTGACAGGGAGCTAAGATGGAGGCTGCTCTCTCTATACTGACTGCCAGGTGTAAAGGGCGGAGCTTATAATAATGATGACAGGGAGCTAAGATGGAGGTGGCTCTCTCTATACTGACTGCCAGGTGTAAAGGGCGGAGCTTATAACAATGATTGACAGGGAGCTAAGATGGAGGTGGCTCTCTCTATACTGACTGCCAGGTGTAAAGGGCGGAGCTTATAACAATGATTGACAGGGAGCTAAGATGGAGGCGGCTCTCTCTATACTGACTGCCAGGTGTAAAGGGCGGAGCTTATAACAATGATTGACAGGGAGCTAAGATGGAGGTGGCTCTCTCTATACTGACTGCCAGGTGTAAAGGGCGGAGCTTATAACAATGATTGACAGGGAGCTAAGATGGAGGTGGCTCTCTCTATACTGACTGCCAGGTGTAAAGGGCGGAGCTTATAACAATGACTGACAGGGAGCTAAGATGGAGGTGGCTCTCTCTATACTGACTGCCAGGTGTAATGGGCGGAGCTTATAACAATGATTGACAGGGAGCTAAGATGGAGACGGCTCTCTCTATACTGACTGCTAGGTGTAAAGGGCGGAGCTTATAACAATGATTGACAGGGAGCTAAGATGGAGGTGGCTCTCTCTATACTGACTGCCAGGTGTAATGGGCGGAGCTTATAACAATGATTGACAGGGAGCTAAGATGGAGGCGGCTCTATACTGACTGCCAGGTGTAATGGGCGGAGCTTATAACAATGATTGACAGGGAGCTAAAATGGAGGTGGCTCTCTCTATACTGACTGCCAGGTGTAAAGGGCGGAGCTTATAACAATGATTGACAGGGAGCTAAGATGGAGACGGCTCTCTCTATACTGACTGTCAGGTGTAAAGGGTGGAGCTTATAACAATGATTGACAGGGAGCTAAGATGGAGGCATCCAGTTACTGGACAGAGCGCTGTATTTTTAAAACAGGGTCCACAAATCCTGTAACCCTATGGAACAAGCGCAGCTTGTTGGAATGGGGCTTAACAGAGCTAGAAGGCGGGCATAGGGGGAAGGCCCCCTGGCATTGGGAGGTGAAGTGTTAAGGGGTTGGCCCAGTATAAATAAACAGCCATTTTAGATTAATTTGCTTATCTGGCCTAATTTATGTGCAACTCCTGTCTGCAGTTTGGGCCTGGTAATTTTTTCTTTTCTGTTTTTTTTGCTGCAGGTTCAAGGCCCAGAGGATGGATCCGGTGGAGCAGTTCCTGGCGGAGGTGAGAGAAGCAGCACAGGATTGTGGAGCGGCATAGGTGCAGGAATGCCTGGGACCAGCCCGGGTCGGAATCTGGAACAGTGGTCGGACCGGCCACCCGGCGCAGAGGAGGAGGCCACGATGGGGGCTCGGGAGCATACAGTCGCATGGCCAGGTGGACGGCAGTGAGGCTCCCCAGTAGGGGGAAGCCGGGCTGGGCACGGACACTGCTGCGATCGTCAGTGGGAGGCCGGGACTGCAGATCACTGGGCCGTCCGCCGTGAGTGTGGCCCTTGGCGGTGGGAGCCAGTACAGTGAGCCTGCTGTTGCCAGGAGGACCAGGAGCAGTGTCGCTGGAGGAGCATCCCACAGACAGGCAAGATACCTTGGTGTGAGCGAGGCAGCTGGTCCCTCTGGGGGGGTTTATGCAGCTCAGAGGGGCACTAGGGCACGGGTGCACGGTGAAAGCTTTGTCCTGGGTAGCTGCAGTGGGTCCCTCCTCTTCTATGGGTGTCACTGGGAGTGGGCTGGGGTCCTTTGGGAGTCGAGCAATGGACCTGGCTAGTGGCCAAGCAGGCGATCCCAGGGTCACAGCAGGGGTGTGTCTGGTGAACGGTGCACCCTGCCAATCGGCTCTCAATTCAGATCACAGAGCAGATCTTCTTCACGGCGATCCAAGCATCGGGTGGTCTCCCCGATCGGTGGAGTAAATGCATGGGTGGTCTGCCCTGGACCGGTCAGATCCCATAACGCAGCCCAGGGGTCTGTGCAGGCTGAAGGTTTGGTTGGTGAGTTGGACACGACACAGCACTCACAGGGCTTTATTGATTCATGGCAACGGTTAATTGACTCCTGGGGCAAGTGTGCAGGGGGGATGTTACTAAGGTGTGGGCTTACCACAGTGTGTGTCGGGCGGGGGGAGTTTCAGCGGGCGTTTGAGTCAAGTGCTGGGACGGCGGCGGCAGCGGTGGCGAGGTGGCATTGGAGTTGGGTAGAGAGAGCAGAACTGTACGGGGGCATTTATGACGCAGCCCAGCAGCATGCGTACGTGTCCTTTGCGGACCCTTTAGGGGTGCATTTGAAACAGGAGGTGAAGGAGAAAATATGGAAAGGTGAGTTTTGTTAAATTTTTTCGCTATTGCCGCTGGAGGACTACTTGGACCTCAAGGAAGAGGACAAGAAGGACGCCAAGAAGGAGGAGGAGGAAAAACAGAAGAGGTATCGAAATATACCTAAGTCCTTCGGGAACTGGCTGCATGCTTTCTGAATCTTAGCTATTGTTATTGGGGAGAAGTCGCCGGGTCTGTGTTCATCGTTGTTCTGCTACCTGGATGAGGTGTGGAAGGCTTACCGCAAGTACGGTGGTCTGGAGTGGTGGAAATATGACGAGCAATTCCGGCAGCGACTTGTGTTGAACCCTGGGATGCGGTGGACCTGCCTCTATGGATAAAGCTTATGATGGCACAGTAGTCGACACTCTTTCAGTCAGTGGCCGGCGCTGGAAGTCAGTCCTTTGCTGGCTCTTCAATGAGGGCCAGTGCAAGTGGGGCGCTGGGTGTAGATTTAAGCATGAGTGCTCAGATTGTGGGGGTACCCATGGCCTCTACAGTTGTTTTAAAAAGGGTAAGACTGGGGCCTCTTCTGGAGTGGGTTCCGGTGGGGCAGTTGTTGCGAGTGGGCTTCGGGGAGGGGTTTTATATAACGTTTCAAGAAGGGGGGGCAGGTAGTCTGTGTAACTTGAAATCGGTCTGGGAATTCCCAGATGTGGTGCGGGAGAAGCTGGGTAAGGAAGGGCGACCCGGTATGTACCCACTGTGGCCAGCCTCTTCTCCTGGGGGGCACAGGAGCCAGCCCCCTCAGACACCCTGAGGCTGGCCCTGGTGTCACCCAGCTGGCCGGTCCTGCGGGCGCGTGAAGGAGCACTCTCCCTGGCTGAGTGCTTCCTCTTCAGCTCTCTCGTTCACCGCACTGATACCGGAGCCAGGAAGATGACGTCAGTGTTAGAGTGTGTGTGTGTTAGTGTTAGAGTGTGTGTGTGTGTGTTAGTGTTAGAGTGTGTGAGTGTGTGAGTGTGTGTTTGGATGGCGGGTCCGTTTAAATCCCTCCCCTTGCCCAATTGGCGGGTTTCTCCACTGGGGGTTATCCCTAAGAAGGAACCTGAGAAGTTCCACCTAATTCACCACCTCTCCTACCCTAAGAAGGCGTCGGTGAATGACGACATCGACAGGGACCTGTGCTCAGTCTCTTACACATCATTCGACCAGGCGGTCGAGTTGGCTAGGGAGGCTGGCCCCGGGCCCTCATTGCAAAGGTGGACATGGAGGCTGACAGTGAACCCGGACTGCTACCACCTTTTGGGTTGCGCCTTTGACAGTTCATATTTCATCGACTCTTGCCTTCCGATGGGTTGCTCGATTTCGTACACGTACTTTGAGAAGTTTATCACTTTCTTGGAGTGGGTGGTGAAGACGGAGTCGGGGTGTAAGTCGGTGGTCCACTATTTGGATGTCTTCCTGTGTGTGGGGACTGCTGACTCTTAGCGCTGCTTTCACCTGTTGCGGACCATTGAGTGGGTGGCGGATAAGCTTGGGGTCCCCCTTGCGTTGTCCAAGATGGAAGGTCTGACCGCCTGCCTGAGTTTCCTGGGCTTTGAGATAGACTCTCGAAAAGATCTCCGGATACAAACTCAATATCGACAAAACACAGGCCCTACCCTTAAACATAGATCTCCAACCTTACAAGTCCCTACAAAGGACATACCCCTTTAACCTACACTCCACACACATACAATACCTAGGAATCACCATCCCGGCAGACCTATTACAGTGCTTCACACTGAACTACACCCCTGCCATTAAGAAAATCACTCACGACATATCTACATGGCAGAACATGCCAATATCTTGGCTAGGCAGGCTAGCCTCGATCAAGATGAACGTACTGCTCAGGCTCCTATACTTGTTCCAAGCCCTCCCAATACCAATCTCTGGACCCGACTTCAAATAGCTACAGACCACAATAGATAAGTTCATATGGTCCAACAGACGCGCAAGAATAAAGAGGCAAACCCTCTACGTACCTAACAGGTCAGGGGGACTGGGCCTACCACACCTCACCCATTATTACCAAGCAGCACAAATATCACAAACCCAAAATTTGCACACCTGGAGCAAGATATATTTGGCAGGGATTTCCCCTCCCTTTACATATGGCTACCAAAACAGGCCAGACCCCCCATGCCCCAGACAACCCCAGCACTGATCAACACAATCAAGATATGGGACAAAGTAGTGCACAGAAGTGGTCTAGCAACACCCCGCTGCTCCGCAATACACAATTCACACCAGGCATGACACCAAAAGAGTTTGTACGCTTCGAGGATAACAACCTCACGCGCCTACACCAATTCTTCAGAGACCAACAGCCAATATCTTTCGCAGACCTACCACAAACGACACCCTTGCGAACTTTGACTTTTTCAGACATATCCATATCAAAAGCTTTCTCGACCAGCAATTAAACAAGCCAGCAACACGGCATTAACCCCCCCCCCAAAAAAAAAGGCATACAAGCTCCAATACAAAGAGGCCAGATCTCGGCACTATATTTTTATTATATCAAAATTGATATCTTGAGAATTACCCACTATTTAATTCTCTTAGATCCTAGAGAACGATCATTATGAGGATTTTTACTCTATACAGTAAATCGCAATTCTTTATAAAAATATAATTTATTGTGACAATAATAATAAAATAATAATAATAATAATAATAATATGTAACATGCGTGATAATAATCAGTGAATATTTAGGTATAACATTGGTATACAACAGAATGGCAATGTTTAAACAAATTCAGCGTCTACAGCATCAACTGTCAAGAACTTAGCAAGATTTATGACAGCTTAGAAACCAACTTCACACAGAACACAGAATTCCACAGAATACAAAAGTGCAGCGAGAAGCCATAAAATGTTGGCTATCAGTTAGATCCTGATTAACTATTCCACTGCTGGTTACAATCCTCCTAGGTATATAATATCATATTCTCATTTCAATTTTCGATTAAACAATGTTCATCCCCAATCAACCATTCCTGAAACCATCCAATAAGAAAAATCTACCAGATTTTACATTTAGCCGAATTTTAATTTCTCTACATAAGATATACTATCTTATTTCAGAGCAAATCAATATATCTGGATAAAAACAGCGGTATGCTAACTTGTGACAAATTTATTATTAATATATTGTTATCTTACTCCACCTGCAGTTATGCAGTTTTTATAACCATATATTCTTTTAGTTAACTAAGATTTATAATTATAGAAATCTAACAAAGATTTATCCAGGCATATATATCTGCTATTAGTAAAAATGTAATTAACTTAAATTAATTAAATAAAACCAGCATAATTACCAGTTATGTTGTAGATGTTCTTATCAGATGAATAGATAGTCCCAGGAATTGAATGCAAGTATGATTATGTATAGAGGTGTGCATGTAATAGAGAAAGTGGTGTTTGTTTGTAAAGATTAGGTGTCCAGGAAAGTGTTTCTTAAGTTGAGTCAAGAGAGTTTGAGAGTTGAGTGTTAGATTTGAGTGTCAGTCCCAGA